TGCAGCGGGCTGATTCAGCGTGTGTTCCGCCCGACTGGGGACCTCGGTAGGCTGTGGGCAGACCTGCCTGCCTGCAGCGGGCTGATTCGGCGTGTTCTGTGCGACTCAGGACCTCGGTACGTCGTGCACAGACCTTCTGTGTGCAGCGGGCTAATCTTGCTGAAGTATTTTTATGACTGCTTTAAAATTCTTTTTTTTGCTTTAAAATTCTTTTTAGGTAATTCAAACAACATCTATCTTCTTGGTGTTGACATCTGTTCACTATTCCACTTAGTTTGAGACCTTCCTGGTTCTTGGTATGAAAAATGAGTTTCAACTGAAACATGCATATTTTGTATAAGACTCAGGGCCTTGCTTAAATCTTGTGACTTGGCAGCTTCCTCTGGCACTAATCCACTGGGTGGAGGGGTTACCACTTCATTACTGCCGGGTGGGGTGGAAATCCTGTTTCTCTGCTCAGCCTCTATGGACACTGGAGGATGAAGGATCCTATTTCCTCCTATGGAGGATCTTATTTCAGCTGGGAGAGAGGGTCTCTGTGGGGGTCCACACTGGCCAATGGAGGGAGTAAAAAAGGTTATCAAAGGCTTCACTTAATAAAGTCTCATCCCATACTACCCCAGCAAGGAGGAGGACAAATGGGTCTTTACCACCAGGTGGAGTTGCAGCTTTAGGCTCCAGCTTGGTCTCTGCTGACCCCATTTGGGAAGAGATGCTCATTACCATGGATAGGGGTGCGAACTTTGGCTCTCCATTTTGCCTTCTGTGATTCTTCCCAGGTGTAGGGGCCAGAGAGGGATGAACATGGAGGTCTAAGCTTTTCATTCAGCTGTGATGTCAGTGGTGAGGGGGAGAGAGAGAGAGAGAGAGAGAGAGAGAGAGAGTGAGTTTGGTACTGGGCCTGAGCTATATTCCCAGCCCATGTTTTATTTTTTATTTTGAGACAGGATCTCACTAAGTCACTAAATTGCCCAGCCTGGGCTCAAACTTGCAGACCTCCTGGGTCATCCTGCCAGACTGCTGAGATCACAGGCAAGTGCTACC